GTGATTCTATGCACATTCTCAAAACGGACCGATATACCCCAAAGATCCTATTAGCAGAAATGTTACTACTAACATATTTTGCAAAAATGTTGCAAAATGTCAAAACCCTATCATAGATATTGCGAGCTCTATCGTGAACAGGTTTAAAGTTAAATGTATGTGAAATTTTTTAATTTTAATTTTTTACAAGTCTTGATACCTCAAACCATAATTAAAATATACGACTTAAAAAGAAACCCCCTTAAACGTTTGAGATTAGTCCCATTTTCTTTCTTAGCCAAATTTGTGAAATCTAATAAAGTTTAGTGATTAAATTCAATTCCATCCAATGTAATATAATATTTAAATTACAAAAAATTTGTTATTTACTTATTTTACAAACCACTGTTATGTAAAACAAATATTTATGTAAACAAAAACAGAAAAATCCGGTTTATAAGAAAAACAGTTGTTTTGTTTTGTGAATTATCAACTGCTATAATTACCCACAAAGCCAAACATACATAAATAAATATGTGTGTATATACAACGATGTTTGTAAATTAGCGGATGTCGAATAATGACATGTACACTAGACATTAATATAATATTTATTTTGTATTATTTGTTGTTGTAACAACTGGCGCTCTGTATTTTTTTCTGGCTTCAAAATTGGCATCACGTTTGCCTTGTTGGACATATGGAACTCACGATATTATCATCATAACAACAACATCACGAAGACCAATTCAATATTTTCTTTTTTTATTTCTTCTGACTTTGTAACTGATCTTTGCAATACAATTTTCACTTTCACCTTCAATGAACCTTAGCTGAGCTGATTCACATGACAGAGCAAATGGGGAGTTTTCTTCCCACCAGCAATGAAAATGAGAAAAGCAACGAAACGAAAAAAAAACATGACCACAGATCAAACAACCTGTTGGCTGGGATAGAGTTTCATACCCACATATCATACATATATATAAATAAATATTTGTTGAAATGTTACCATTTTTTTCTCTCTTGATCTTTTTGTCTTTCTAAGCTTTTTTGAAACCGAAAAAAAATCTCAACAAGTTTTGGAAATTATTTTGTGTATATGTGTGTTTTTTTTATTTTCTTTTAATGTTATCATTTTGTTTTTATTTTTTTATTTTATTTCTAACCAGAAACCATCAATGCTACTCTGCAACTATCAACTTTTGGCCGGTATGAGTAATGAAATCTACTGGAGTTGGTTGAATAACAGCAACCACAGCAGCAGCATCATCATCAGGGTAAGCAACAAAAAATAAAAACACACCAGTACACATAATTATTACAACATAGCCAAAAACCAGGTTTACCACTATTGGATTACATGAATATTTCAAAAGATGGCCTATGGCGTTAGCACAGTGGCTTGGTGGTGGTTTTTGACATGTAAGGGGATTTTTTTTTTTGTTAGAAAAGAGTTATAATAAAAACATATTTAAATATAAATGGATGACCTGAAGTCACTAAGCAGTGGCTTTTGAGTGACAAAAAAAATTTTTATGAATAATTTATAAAAAAATTGACAAATCAAATAAAATATGAATTCAATATTTAAAGTTATCAATAGGATCACTACTTAAATAAGGTTCATTTACTCTCACACTAGCTTGTTCCCATTAATGGTCTGTTCCCGTACTGCAAGAATCTACTAGATATCACAGTTTTCTTCGACATTATAAAGGAAAATTAGTTATCATAGCAGAAAGTAGTAGATTCAGTACGGGAACATAAAATAATGAACATAATGAATTTGCAACTCATACCAAAGCGTACGAATTTAAAAATTACGTTTAAAAATTAAATATTAATATTCTTAATATTAATATTAATAATATTAAATATTATTGTTAAAAACTTGATTTAAAATTAAAAATATACTATTTTATTAAAATGGCCCCAGAAAAAAATTAAATAAATAAATAAATCCCAAAATCTACTTTCCCTTTTTTCTCTTGTCTAAATTTAATATAATTAATTAAAGAAATTCTAACTAGTTTCGTCACCAAAATAATGGAATTCTCAAACAACAAATCTCAATATTTGATTTTATAATAATCACAAACTTTGTTTATAGCTTTTTGTTTATTTTATGTTGTTTTATAGAAGAAAAAACCGGATAATACCGACGACAAGAATTTAAATATTTTAAAATTCAAGAGTTCAAGAATACTTTTGTTTGTTTATAGCACTGTGACGTTTTAATATTTAATTATATATTTAAACAAACACAATCACAAATGGGCTTCTGGAAACTTGGAGAAGTCAATTTTATTTTTTTTTTAAGAATATAAAGAAAAAATTATTATTAAACCGAATGAATGCTAAATGAAAGCGGCTAAAATCGAACGGTCAGAAAAAAACCGAGAAATTAATATTTTTGTTTTATAAATTAAATATAATTATTAATATAAATAGAAAGACTATTCACACAAACACAATATGCCGATTTTCATTTTTTGAATTCTCGTATATATTGATATATTAATCAGGGGTTTAGGATCACAATTCACTAAACACTTTGAACGCCATCTATATGTCACCATCTGAAAAAATGTCAGGTCTAACTCGATTGCAGGATATGTGGAGACAATTAAATGGAGACATTTTCTGCCTATGTTCATGAGGTCCCATTTCTTCTATAACATCATACCAAATCGTATTTGGATTTTAAGAATTTTAAGAAATCTCTTGTGCATAGATGCCCTTTCAAGCTTGATTAGGACATCTTTAGATAAGCTCACACATCTTCTCATAAAAATACAATTCAGTACCAGATCATGCCATATTTTTACACTTTAAGCATTTCTAAAACTTATTATTGGAAACCCATGATGACCAAAATAACATGCCTACTGCCGAACATTCCTTTTGTGGAATAGTTTTTTTTAACCATTTCGTTCCGGAACAACATGTATATTCCCAATTATTCTGTCACTATGACTGTAAGTGGCACCTACTCACTTGTAGTTGAACCTAAACCTTATTTACTCTACAGAGAGTAGCATCTATTCCATAATAGATGCTTCAGAACATATTATATTCAACAGTAGATGGCGCTGAGGTCATTAGAGATCATTTGTTTAAGAACATAACTCAAAGAAAGGAGTTAAAACTGCAAAATTTACGCAAGCAAGAATGATGACCAGTATTCTGGACTTCTGATTGATTGCATTGATTTTGAATGATCCGAATGTAATGATTGGAAAATGGAAGTAGTATATTTAGGATTGCTTCATGGGCCAATGAAAATAACTCGTTTCAAATAACTATAGGCCCATATTTGTTTCTTTTACTTGGTCGATCGCAGTAGGGCACAACATTTTCATCGTGATTAACAAATAAAAAAGTCGAAAATCGAAAATGTCCTATGTTTTTTTAACATAGCCTGAACATTTTATCCAGCATTTAGATGAAGAAATTTAAATCAGAATCAATTTAATTAATATGTCCCACGACCCCCTCTCTAATTCTACACCGAATATTCTACCCTGCCAACAGGCAGTAGGCCTACATTTATAAAGAAATTCTGGTACCATGTAGAGTAATATATATTAAATACTGTCCACTCCCTAACTTCAATCTTGTCCAGAACAACTTCAAAGGGTCCAGTTGTTGACAGTAGAGATCAGAATTTAGCGTTTGGCCATATGGAAGCAACTCATAATAAATAATCCCCTTCTAGTCCCACCAAATGCATAGCCGAACCTTCTGTCCTGGTTTGACCAACGTCTGAGGTGCTTCACCGCTCTCTGATCGTTTTCGAACAGGGCTATCGTATGTGATCCATTTCTCATCTCCAGTCACCATCCGTTAAGGAAATGTGCCTATCTCCTTCCGTTTGGCCGATGCTTCGCAGAAGCAAATTCTGTTAATTGGTGTGGCACCCAAACATTGAGCTTCTTTTTGAATCTAGCTTTGTGTAAATGGTTTAAAACAGTTTTATGGTCGATTTTTGACATCGCTCCTGGGTGATGCTACGAGTGCACCGGTCAACATACCGGTCAACTTCGATCATTTCTCCGATTTTTTTTCGACGACGGGCCTAATGGATTTATTCTTCCCCAACCTAATATATATACCAATATTGGAAACATACCCGTTTTGAATCTCAAACAAAAAACAGGGCAACAATCAGGTAAACAGTTAAATCATTTTACCTACATAAATTTCAGAAGGTCACAATAAAATAATAAATTATATTTCCATAGAAAGAATTTTCAAATTCTGGAAAATCCAAATAACCATAAAATTAATGGCCATCATCAACATTAAATGATAAAAAAAACGACCATAAAAATATAAAATTTTTCCAAATAGGTAAACAGCAATTTCCAACCCACACCAATAATTGTCTCAACTCACAAACCAAAAAAAAAATATTTTTTTCTACTAATTTTTTAAAATATTAACCCCTTTTTCAATCGATGATTTTTAAATTCATTTTTCTTCTTTCCATATATTTCGTTTCTGGCTTTTGAAATCTAAACAAATGCAAATTTGAATTTACACAATTTTTCACAGAAATTATGATAATAATGATGATGGTGATGAACGAAATGAATGGATGACCTCGTTTGAGAGAGAGAGGGTTTCGGCAAGCACAAAACTAGAGGAGGAGGCCTCAAAAAATCGATCATTACAAAATCAACATCATGCAATATTTGAAATGTAGATTTTTTATTTATGTTAATTTAAAAACGGATGAAACAACAACAACAAAATAAAAATAAAACCTAAATTGATTGGGCTTCAATACAAACAAGCAATTTGGAAATAATGTGCATACATATATACATTTGATAAAAAAAAAACTAAAATCCTAAACTTATATGTGATTCAATGCCAATGTTTATAAATTGTATATTTTTGGCAATAATCCCATACATCATTTAGCCCAAAAAATCCCCAACTTATTTTCGGAATTCTATTTCACCAAATATGTCAAAGAGGAAGCTGAAATTTTGATGATCACAACAACTTACCTTCACTTATCTCAATTTCGGCATTTTTCTGCTGAAACTTGCCCGCCCCCGCTGCGGCTGTCTGTTGATTTGTCTCTGATTTGACCACACGCATCATGCCGCCATAGCCAAAAAAGTCACCAAATACCATCAAGGCCACCACAACAAAAATCGCAATACGAAAACGCCAAGCCACATCCATGGTCAATCGGTTCGAGTGAACTCTTCTAGCTTTGAGTTTTTTGTTTGGCTGCAAATTGACGTTTTGATGTCGCGTTTTTTTCGGTTATGGCCAATTACTCAATTACACTTTCGCAATCGTTGTTGGCTTGTGCTTTTATGGTTCAAAGACTTTCTCAATATGACTATTTACACGTTTTCAAAATTGATATTTTATACACGTTTTTGCAATATTTTGACAAATATTTTATGCGGGTTTTATTTTTATTTTTCGGGTTATCACTTGTAATCGAATTGTATTCAAAATTTTTCTTCAATTATTTGAAAACACGCAGAGCTATAGTTAAAGCGAAGATTGACGTAGCAAAATTAAGGTAAGACCGTTCCAAACAAAAAAGTTGAATATTTCTGTTTCTTTTGCAAATTTTCCCAGTATTGTTCGATAATTTTCTTCTTTAATTATTTTTCTTTCTAGACACGTATCGGGGAGTTACTTTGGTATCTGTCCGTCACCTCGTCCACTCTATGGCTCGTTTGTTTTGCAACTAAGCTTAACATCTGTTGAATCGAACCCAGGCAAAACTCTAAGCCGCACAGTTGTTTAGCAAAATACCCACAGGCCCGTACACACACACATACACACTCAAACAATCAATCAACAAAAAACCGTAATTGCTACCATTTCACACAGCCAAACAAAAATATCAACCTCAACACGAATGTTATACCTGTATTGTTAGCTGGTCGTTTTAAGTTCGACTTGTAGCAAACCTCAATACAACAGGTAAACAGAGAGAAAGAGACCTAAAGAGCGGCTTAGTGATTCTCTGTTGAAATGTAGTATGGAGAGCGAGACAATGTTATCGTATCGCTGTTAATAACATTTTTTTTTGATTGCAGTACTGCATTAAAAGTGGCAATCAGTTGGCTTGACACACTCGCAATTAAGGTTTTTTGTGTGTACAATGAAAACCGGAATTGGCCAAGAACGGTGTTAATTACACCGGCATTATTAATCCATATAAAAATAAACCGAACACTAATACCAAAAACAAGTGACTAATGCAACATTTGAAAGGAGCCTCGGCAACGTCATTTAACGTAATGGAAATTACGTAATTAAAATTTAAATATGATGAGGGGGAAATCGATTTTAAAATTAGAATCTCATTGGGGTTATGAGAAGGCTGAACGTCAATTACGATAGCTATAAGTGTCATCTACTCTACAATGGAAAGTACAACTGAGCGTTACATACAATATCACAGATGAACATCATCGCATATGACCGTGAGCGTCACCTACATGGTTTTAGATGACTCTAATGGCCCTCTATTCCGTAATTAAAAATAAATTTTTCATATCGTAATATATTCCACGGTAGATGGCGCTGGAGTCATTTATCTTCTCTATTCAATATATTATATATGACTGCGAGGGTTACCTACTCTGTTGTAGATGGCCCTTAGCCTTATTTACTCTATATGTGGTGACCTTCAGCGCCATAAAGTTTTCATATCGTAATATATTCCACGGTAGATGGCGCTGGAGTCATTTATCTTCTCTATTCAATATATTATATATGACTGCGAGGGTTACCTACTCTGTTGTAGATGGACCTTAGCCTTATTTACTCTATATGTGGTGACCTTCAGCGCCACATATTCCACAATAGTTGAATCAGTGGGCAATCTATTAAACCATGGATGGTGCGGAGATTCAATAGATGGATGCTTGGGGTCATTCATTTTTTGAACATGATCATGAATGTCATATGTTTAATAATACAATACAGGACCACTATAGTAAATGGCAGTCGGCTATGATTAGGGCAACATATAATTTATGGTTGATGGCTCTTAGCGCCATCTATTCCTTAGTAGAATAATCCTAGCATCATCTACTCCCAACAGATGACTCTGATCCTTATATGTTGGCTTAAAGATGACTCATGTCTATAGTAACCATGAGCAACCGCAATAAAAAGGAATTTGTCGTAGTTCATCTAGTTCTTCTTGTTCCAGCCGTTCTTTTTCCCTGTATTCCTTAATAAACATAATAAAATATTCATATCATAATACATTATACAGTAGATGTATCTGGAGTAATTATCTTCTCTATAGAAAATATTGCATATGACCGCTAGCGATCCTTCTCTACAAAAATACTTCATTGTTCAATCTATTCCACAGCAGATGGCGCGGAAAATTAATAGATGAATGTGTGGGGTCACTCATTTCATAGAATACAATATTCTGAGCGTTATAGAGCGACAATAGTTGATGACAATCGACTAAGCTTTGAGCAACATATAATCTATTGTAGGTGATTCCTAGCACCCTCTATCCCTCAGTTGATGATTCTCAGAGTGATTACATTACAATAAAAAAGTCCTAGCGTTGTCTACTCCATAACAGATGGGCTGATCTTCATATGTTTCATAGAAGATAACTCAGAGCTATAGTAAGCCTGCACAGCCGCTATTATATACTAGAGTTCGGTCGTTGCGGAATGAGCTATTCAAAAGAAATTGTTCTGCAAGAGGATCATACCTAAAATGGGGCTGGACCGCAAATACGGCATCGTTAGCCAAAAATGCACCTTGGATCAACAAAATAATGAAAATGTGAGTGGAGCTCTACATAGTGGCTATATCCAAAACCTGAATTTGCATAGACAATTTTCTACAAGTAAGTTGTCTACCCTCTAAGAACCTGGAATGACAAAATACAGCCTCATTGGTCAGAAAATTGGCTTGTTAAGAATATCGATAATTATAGGGTTGAAGATTTTGTTTGTGGGAGTATGAGTTTTTAGAGAATGTGTTTTAAGGTGTCATATATTTTATTAAAGGGGGAGGGGAGGATTTCATGAGAAAAACTAGGTAATGTATAGTTAATAGGTATTGCAGGTGATACATAAGACGAAAATATTAGAACACATATAAAATATGTCTTTGTAGGGACGATAAATGAGGGAGAATGGATTCTCTCACTAGGATAGGTAGTACTCAGGAATGTTTTCATATAGCACCAACATAAAGGTCGCGCCCCATTTCGATATTATTATAGGGTATGACCCGGCCGAACTTATAGACGTTTTTGCAGCCAAAAATGGTATGGTACTCTGGGGACACGATGACCTATATGTCCCATTCAATGTCAATTATTGTATGAGTAGTAAGAATGTACTTGTAAATACTGAAAAGACCAAGTCGTCCGGGCATAACTATGTTCGAATAGAATTTTATTCGGATCAAAAATATATTCTTGATCAGGTCTATAAAAATTACTAGATATACTCTATATCTCCCTATAGAAGATGCATCTATTCACTTCTTGTTGTAAAATTTGTATCTAACTAATTACAAATTTGCTTGAACATGATGTGTCCATTGTATAGAATAATTGCCAACGATGTCGAAAATTACACAGATTAGAATGTTATTGTTAACTAGTACATCATCCTAAGCTGTAGCATTAACAACAATCACCATAAAGACAACTACAGCAATGTGCAACAAGACATCTTCTTCATTGTGTTGCACATTACCTCCTTAGATGAATTGAGTTTATGTTTAATTGATAGTTCGGATATCTGTGTTAACCCCAAAAAGGAGGGACAAATTTGAAAGTCCACAGATAAATTAGAAAGGAATGAAAAAACGTGTCACTTTGTATTAATTTGAAATATAAAGGAAACTGTCAATAATTTCTGAGTTTGACGCCTTAATTAAAATAATTATCATACTTAGTGCATTTAATAATCGCTAATACGTTTTTTATTTTATTTTTTAATACAAATTAAATTTTTAACTCTAAGCGATTATCATTCAACTAATCCACGTTTATGTAAATTTCATACACTCACTCACTCACACACACACGTGAGCACAATAAACTATATATTTATAAGCTCATATCGAATTATTGATTGTAATTTATTTATTAAAATCATTGAAGTAGAAAATAATAACTACTAACACTCAGCAAAAAAAATTAATAAAAACTTACATTATTACAATTAAGTTACATTCTCGGCCATTGGCAACAGCAGCAGCAGTAAAAACAGTAGTCAGGTCCGATACAAAAAAAAACTGAAAAACGAAGCAGTCAAATGGAGAGCAAGACCTATGAGTAATAATATCCACGGTTCAGTTATAATTAAATGCAGCGATTTCACTCAGTCAGGTTTTTTGCTGCATGACAAGCTTGGTTTGATTCGCTTCTGTTTTGATTGAACTCTTCAGGTAATTCAGACGTCATGCCAAACAACAAAAACAGCAACACCAAGACCAACAGTACTTGGAATTTAAATGAACTTAATAGCCATCGGACAACACTAACTGGCGCATGACACAATGCTAGAGAGAAGGAGGGGTATGGCGGAGCTATTACCCGACAACCCCATTAGCCCAGCATTTGCTCAGCCACAATATACACTGAAATTGTATGCCTCGCTGGTCATTTGTTGAAGCGTTAACAGCTGAGCGATTGTTGCACTTAAAGTTGCCATAACACAGACACACACACGCACACACAAAGGCGCAAGCGATCTCTTGGTTGATATCTTCTGGTCGACCTTCACTTTGAAAAGTTGTTTCGAGTACTTTTGATATTTACGAGTACAGAACAGTACTCTGGTTGTTTTTTATTTTTTTTACTTTATTTATTTTTTTATTACTCCACTATGCGAATTATGTATGCCACTCTCATATCTGTACAAAATGTAGTATTTTCGGAATTTTTTTGAAAATATTCCATGGGATTTGTAATGTTCTAGAGCCCTGGCTAAATGCATTAAAGTACCTAGAGGTATTCCGAGGTATAAAACTGAGATGTTGTTGTTTTTTTATTCCAAAGTTATTTATTGTCGTCATTGGTGTTCGAGTTTTAATTTTGTAAAGTGTGAACAGAAAAAATTATGCATTCACTAAGTTAAAGTGACTGTTAAAGTCACGTTTTTTCAGACTTTAAACGGCGACAAATTGATAACAATCGGTTTGAAAACAAGAAGCCTAAATAAACGAGGTGG